ATTATTATTTGTCATTGTAGATGACGATGGAAGTGTTGCACCACCATTCATAATCATATGAGAAGATGGGTTACTAGGTGAACCATTGACATTTTCAAGAATTTTCATCATTGTACTACCAAATTCTTGCGCATCAATTTTTGATGAAAAATTTAAACCATAAACACACGATTGATCACGCCATTGATGAAATGTTGGTGTAGCTTGGTTATATTTAATACCTTTACTTATTGAATGATTTAGAACAACTTCATGATCTTGAATTTGTCGACCAACTATACGATATGTTTGAGTATCTGGAGAAAATAATAACTGAACTTTCGCTGGACCATTAGATGCACAATGTAACCATTTCTTTTGTGCATCATTATAAATCATTGCTGTTGCTTTACAACTTGTTAAAATATCTTCTTTAGGATTATTACCTACCATTATTGGTTGAAATCTTTGTATTAAGAAATATGATATGGATAAGAATGATACAGGCTAGAAAAGAGAAAAAAACAAACACATTTGATTGCTCAATATTAACAAATTTTTTATCAATAGTATATTTCTCAAGTCTATAAGATAGTTTATTACTTGTTGATAGGTTATTGCCAAAATAAGCTCGTGTTACTTATCTACTTTCACTTGACGTAATAGAGAATAATGCACAAGTATTTGTATATATATATATATGAATACAAAGAACAATATCAGATAGCAGAATCAATATACACTGAGGTAGTATCATTAGCTAGAAAAATACTACTTGCTCTCTTTCTTTCTATGCTCTCCGCGGATATTTGCTATTGACTACTTATTAGAGTACTACAGACTGATGATCCTTCACATATGGTTTGTTCATATATATATATAAGCGAAGAAGAAATAAAGTATTACTACATATATGAATATATTATGAATAATAAAATCCAACACGAATATTGAATATATTTTAGAGACGGATAAAAATATTCAATCGACTATTCTTTTTTTTTTCGTTTATTATTTCTCTACTTGTCAATATTTATCAAGCAAAGGATATGATTGATGATGGCATTGACAGAAGTATATATATATATATATTTTTCAATTGTAATCTATGAAGTCTTTTTTTGGATAAAATTATGACTAACTAAAAATGTAAATACGTACGAACAAGTGATTATTTATGGTCTTTATTCATTTCACAGTAGGATGTAAAGCAAATAACACGTTAAAAAAACCAATCAATTATATGAGTGTGTGTGTGTGCACATGTTTGCCTGTTAATGGCGGTATATTTAGATCATTTCATCTTTATATAATTATGGAATAGGTTTCTATTAGTTATATTAATCGATCATCTCATTTTACATCATGTAAAATACTTAATATATTTTTCTTTCATATCTATATGAATGAATGAATGTATCTAATTAAATAATAGTTATGAAAATCTTTTTGTTCTAAATTGATAATTTATGTTGTTTTTATCTCAATCATTAAGTAAAATACAATATCAAAAAAACTGAACGATATAATTTGTATTAAAATATGCATATAAATTATTAATTACATACTTTAGAAATAGAAAACAATCACAAAAAAGATTTCACTTTAATTCGTCTTAAAAAGAAAAAAGAAAAAAAAGTAGAATATAATATTTTATTTTTGTCTTTGCTTACCATCAAATAAAAAAGAATAATAACAACATCTCTTTGGCTTCAACACAGCTTGTTGTATTCATCTAGAAGAATAATTTTGTAGAGCAATCAAATTAAATGAACATCTGTTCTTATGTTCAACTAACTCAAATCTTATTGACATGACCTTTTTATTTATTTTATTGGGTGGTATTTTTTTTGAAAATAAAATATTTTTGTTCAAGGTTAGAAACCTTGATCAAAAAAAAATAAATTAAAAAATAATTCAACAATTACGTTTATTTACGTATCATTTTAATAGTAAATATGCATAAATATGTTAGAAAAGAATTCATAGAGGTATTCAACCGTATTTCTATTGGTCTATTCGATGTCAAGTTGTATATAGCCCAAAGGGGTTGATGTGATGATGAAGAAAAAAAAGAATCAACAGAAAATTATGATAGACAGCTGGTAATGTATCGAGCGATTTATTGTTTATAAAATTCTTTTTTTTTCTAGATAGATTAAATTCGATTAAAGTCTATCTTTTGAATGAAGAAACGACGTCGTATTGAATTTAAATAAAAATTATATATTATAAACATGTCAGCAGTAGTTACTGTTCGTCAAACAACAACAACAACTACTACTACAACTACAACAATGAATACAAATAATAATAACAATAACAATAACAATAATGATAATAATAATTCTCAAACACCTGTACGTTCATTTGGAATAACCCAGCCAATATCAACAAAATATCCTGATCCACAAGATTATATGACTACACAAAGTTTAGAAGATACATTACGTTCCTATGATTATTTTGAATCAAGTGACGAATTATCACATCGTGTACAAGTTATGGCGAAATTAAATGTACTTGTACGAGAATGGATACGTAATGTTTCATTAGCAAAAAATATACCAGCTGAAAGTGCTGATAGTGTTGGTGGTCGTGTACATACGTTTGGATCATATCGACTTGGTGTTCATTCAAAAGGTAAATATAAGAAAGCAAAAAAAGAAAATTTTTTTCAAAGATAATCAGATAGTTTTATCTAAGATAGAACTTGTTAACCTTAAAATAATACAATTCATTTGTGATAGAGATTTCTTATATGTAGACAAACATTCGTAATGGAGAATATAATTACCTTGTAACTATAGTTTTTTTGGCATATTCAATCATACAAAAAAACGGTTCTTTAATTCAACCAAAATTTTGTAAACTCGAAATAATAAAATATCTTTTATATGATTTTTTTATACGTCAAACATACTATTTTAACGGCATTAATTAACTATAGATCGATTGGATTTATTATTGTACCTGGACGTCTTAACTTTTTTTGTACGCTCAGAATAAAGTAGAGACATGGATTTCACGGGTCATATTCAGGTGAAAAATGAACAGGACGAAAAAAGTGTTTTATAATACCTATAGACACATTTATCTAGTTATATATCACTCCGTATTGTATTGATGCACTTGATAAGAAATATTTTAATTAGTCACATATATATATACATCAAAAAAAACTCATTATTTAATTTATATTAGTAAACTGAGAATATGATGATACTGATTAAATTCTCATTTTCCGTAAATGTACAAGTTTTGATATTTGTAAGTTAAACATTTGAATTATATACTAAATGATACAAAATAAATGACTTTGTGAAATATTTTCTCTATTATTCGCTTGATTGAATCATCTCTTATTGAAAAATAACGTTTAAAATTTCATATAAAATATTACAATTATTTTAAACAAAGACAAAATTTTCCATCCTGAGGGTATAAACGAATATGATTGTATAGAAAAATCAAGCATAGTATGTCAACGATTTTTCTTCTTCACGGTTCTTAATAGTACATTTTATTTCATGTACTTCTGCTTCTCCCTTCTATGATGTAATATCAGTTCATTGAATATTAAATGCTATTCTTTTATAATATATATATTTTAAATATTTTTTTGTTTTTTCCTAGGTGGAGATATTGATACTCTACTTATTGCTCCACGACATATTGATCGTACAGATTTTTTCTCATCATTTGTTGAATTTCTTCGTCGACAACCTGAAGTTCGTGATTTACGTGCCATTGAAGAAGCATTTGTACCTGTTATTAAATTAACATTTGATGGTATTGAACTAGACATGTTATTTTCACGTTTGGCATTAGCAGCAATTCCAGATAATTTAGATTTAAAAGATGATAAGATCTTACATAATTTAGATCATCGTTGTGCACGTAGTTTAAATGGTTGTCGTGTTACAGATGAAATTCTTGATTTAGTACCTGATCGTGAAACATTTAAATCAACATTACGTGCAATTAAATTATGGGCAAAGAAAAATGGTCTGTATAGTAATGCATTAGGATTTTTTGGTGGTGTTACATGGGCTATGCTTGTTGCACGTATATGTCAATTATATCCTAATGCTGCCGCATCAATCTTAGTACATAAATTTTTTCTTGTTTATTCACATTGGGAATGGCCAACGCCTGTTTTACTTAAACCAGTTAATGATTGTCAATATGGTTTTCCTGTTTGGGATCCAATGACAAATGCATCCGATCGTTATCATTTAATGCCAATTATAACACCGGCTTATCCACAACAAAATTCAACACATAATGTTACACAATCAACACAAAAAATAATTGTACAAGAAATAAAACGTGGTTTAGAAATTGTTAATGATGTTATGACATCAAAAACGGAATGGAAACATTTATTTATTGGTACACCATTTTTTCAACGTTATAAACATTATATTATTCTATTATTATCTGCACCTGATCAAAATCAATTTCTTGAATGGAGTGGTTTAGTTGAAGCGAAAATTCGTATATTAATTGGAAATCTTGAAAGAAATTCTTATATTGATATAGCACATGTTAGTTCGGATAAATATACACCGGATGAAAGTGTTTTTGATCAACAACAAACAAGTAAAACATCAACAGATAATGATAGTGCAAATCGAATCAATGGACACAATAGTCCAGGTATGATTGAGAGTTCTGTAAACAATAAAACTCGAATCTTGTTTACCTTAAATTTCAATATAGATGATAGAATCTATAGTTTCAACGTTTTTTTTTTGGTTAGATTCGAGTTTAATTAATAGGAGTGTAGCGTTGGTTATAATTAGTAATTTCTTCGATGCATTCTTTTATTCATTGATTGATAATAATAGGAAGAGAGTTATTTTGGTAGTGAGTTTAAATTTTTGTCTCAGATACATATGAAAATCTGATGAGAGAGAGAGAACTTTACTAACTAGATAAATTTTATCGGAGTTTGAGAAATCAGTGAAGTCCATACAAATAGTTTTTGTTATGACAGATATCATCTAAATAAATAACTTTTGTATCTCAAACTTACTCTAATCAAATTCAAATGATTTTGAACAAATACATTTGAATCCAATATCTTGGAGATAATCTTTTTCTTCATAAATACAACATATTGATTTCGATTATGTTAAAATTAATAGAAATTTTGTCATTTTTATATGATAATAAAGTTTGTTATAAATATTTTAGACACATCATCTACAAATCCAACACAACAATCATCATCTCCCTCCAGTACTCCACCTACATTTAGTGGTATGTGGGTTGTTGGTCTTCAATTTAAAAATGTCAATAAAGTTCAACTTGATCTAACGGAAGAAATTCGTGTTTTTTTAAGTGTTGTCTACAGATCTTCTGCTAACAGTAATATGAATCGTGAAAATCTCAATCTTGATGCTCGGTAAATAAATTTGAATAGTTTTCTTTTTTCTACTTTTTATTATAATTAAATAGTTATATTCGTCGTCGTGATTTACATACTGTTTTACCAAGACATGTATCAAACACAACTAACAGTCCTCGATTATCAAAAACAATATCGATGGAAGAAAAAATTGATACAACAAATTTAAACACACAAATCAAACGACCAAAATTGAATTCAACATCATCAGATTCAGGTATTGTTGCTGATTCAGATGCTGAAACTAAAATAAAACGACAAAAAATTGAAGAAACTAATGAACCATCTCCAAAGACATCCGAATCAAATCTTGATTCAGTTTAAAATTAAAAGAAACGTTTAAAATAATACTCTTAATGAGTATTATATTATTTCATTCGATGTATTCTCTTTGTTTGCTTATCACCCATCTATCTTGTTTTCTCATTTTCTATTCCAGTTTTTTTTTCTTGTCTATTTTCTTTCCATTAAGTAACAAAAAAGAAAAGAACGAAAAAAAAAAGAAAAAGATTTTTTTTTCTATTTGTTTCTTGTATTCTGTTTGTTGAAATTATTCGTTTTTCTTCTTTGGTTTTTTTTCTATCTCTGTGTTTTTTGTTCGGTTCATCTGCTGTATATAGAAGCGCTTGTGGTACATACAACATAAAATGAACCCAAAAAAATTATAAAATCGTAAAGTAAAGTTTAACAAAAAAATAAAACGGATGCACATATATAAAAATCTTTTTTTTCTTTTATTTAACATTCCAATGCAGTGATAAAATATAACGGTATAATGTTACACTTGGTTATACTTAGTAAATCACCATAGATTTGATATTAACGTATGTCAAGAAAGTCTTGATATAAATTGTTCACTCATTTTTCGTTGACTTAGGAATAAATGTTACGAGTCAAAGGGAGTATCAGAAATTGATGTTCTTTCCAAATATATTGTCAACATTTTCTTTTAATAAAATTTTAAGGAATTACAAGAGCATTTCTTCAAAAGACTCAAAATAATGTTTGTGTCTGAGAAAATAAGGATTTTTGCAGTTTCAGTCTCGTTCGATTTGGGTTTTGAGATTATTTTAGACTAACCATCTAGTAAAGCGTTCAATTCTCTACATAAGGAGCTATTAGAATCATTGAAATATCGAATCTCTAAAAGTTGTAGAGTACTTCCTGTATAAAATGGAATCTATCGAAGCCACAACTTTGAGGAAACTGTCTTGTTGATAAGTAATGTGTCAACAAAATTCAATACAATTAAGCAGATCAACAAACAGGAACAAAGGTTACTGTATAGAACTAAAGAGTTGAAAGTTGCTTCTTATTTTGTGTTAAGTATGTTGAAGTCATGTACGAAAGTAATGTAAAAATATGAGATTTAATGCAATGTCTAATAAATGAAGTGAGAATCATATTTTAATAATAACGGAAATTTTCAACCATAAGAAATAGTGGCGTAACCAGAAATTTAAGGATGATGAGGCTGAGTCCCAAAACGGTCTAGTCTTTTGGATTTTTTGATTGACAAGTTCAGTAACTAAAAAATCCGGATGATGTGGTTAAGCCACTAATAAGAAACAAACAATATACAAAAGATGTTACAAATACACGAAGATTTTAACAAACATGAGCAATTGACAAAGATGTTGATTTTCACTTCATGTATTCGGTTATGTTGAAGTTAAAATAGAATCTGAGACGACATAAAAATTCTAATTCGATGATTTTCAATCGATTTTATTTTTTTTTATTCAACAAAATTGAAAAAAAAATACATCGAAAGTCACAAAAATGCACATCACCGGTCCAGACATAAATAAAACAAAACAAAAAAAACATCTGAACAATATTTAATAAAAATAAATTTTTTTCTTTTCTCGTTCATACATAGATGATTAATTTTGTTCAAATTGATTAGCAACACCAATAAAAAATGTTTCGAAATGTTCTAATAATTCATGATTAAGACTAGCATTACTGACAATATGTTCTATAGCACGTCGCTGTCTTTTATCTTGATAATTTGCTTCTTCAGATATTAAATATAAACGTAATTTATCATTATCAACTGTTAATTTTTTTAATTCACTTGTATCACTTAATGGTCGATGAGTAAGAAGATGTATGATACAATAACATAATAAACGATCTTCATGATGAATTGTAAATTGACGAATATAAGCAAACATTTTTGCAAGTAATTCAATCGTACCAGATTGAAACTATAAACAAAGAAATAAATATAATATTCAAAAAACTTTTTGTTGTTATTTACTTTATTTAATTTGGATAAGATTACTGTTGGTTTTTCAACATCGGTTTTAGTAAATAATTTAAAATCTTGATTTAATATAACTGAATACTAAAATAAACGAATATATTTTGAATTGAAAAAAAAAGAATGAATTTTCTAGAATTACTTTTAATAATTTTAACCATGCCCATAAAAGTCCACTAATAACACATGGATCTGTTTCATCAAAAACTTCATCAATACCATTATTTATTTTATTTATTTTTTGTTTCCATGCTAATATTTTCATTTGTTGATCTGGTGTAAGAAAATCTGGTTGTATTGACATAATCATACAATTAATTATCTGTTCATATGGACTAAAATCATTGTGTGATAAACGTTCATGCTCATAAAAAAATGATGGTGCAAAATCAACCCATGTTGCTTTTTCTTCTTCATTAAAACTTTGTAAATTTTCACGAATAAATACTGGTTTAGCATTTACACGACGATTGACAGTAATTAAAATTGTATCAATCATATAACCAGTACATAATTCTATTAAACGAGCAGCACATACAAATACGACCTAGAATAAATATTCGACTGTATAAATACATTTTATCGACAATCTAATGCCGATTTAATCAATAATAGTAATCTTACTCTTGGAATATTTTTATAAATATACGAATCACGACCATGAATAAATGCTTGTTGATTTCTTAAATGCTCATCTAATGAAAGTTCATTATTCATATCAGCACTAAATAAATTAATATTATATAAATAAGAAAAAAGAATTAATACACATTTGAAATTACTAACCAATCTGTAAAAACACGTCGTTTTGGAATTAAAAATCGTTCATAGTCTTCTACAGCTAAATAATATTTATTAATAAAATCATTTTTTATTCTTTCATTAATTTTTACCTTCAATTTGTTTAGTCATTTGTACACTTCCTGGTCTTTTTGCTCGAATATAATGAATAGCTTCATGTGCTGTCATACGATATTCATGTACAAGATATGAACAAATAACAAAACCAGTTCGACCAAGACCAGCATGACAATGGACTGCAATCTATATAAAAAAAACTATATTGTCTAGTTTTCTTTTTCAAATATGTATTTACTTTTCCTTGTTTCATAGCAAAACTCATTACTTTCATAATATCAAGTACTGTCTCAACTTTTACTGTTCCATAATCTTCCATTGCATAATTATAAACAAAAACTGTGGCGCAAAAAAAAGAAGTGTATAAATATAATTAAGCTATTATGTTTATCTTACTTCCAACATCCATAAATTCACTAGGATCATATGAAAAACCTGATGAATGATTTCCATGACCACATAAAGTATGTTCATCAGGTGATTCTAAATTAAATATACCACGAATACCAGCACTATAAAATTAATAAATCAATATTTTATTTTTATTTTTTCATGATAAAACTTTACTCATAAAATAATTTCTTTAATTCATTATGTCGAATAGTTGGACGAGAACATGCTAAAATATTATCCGTTATCCTGAATAAATTATTTAGAAAAATCTTTTCAAATTAATAAAAGAACTGTTACCAATTTGAAAAGATTCCTTGAATAGCCATTTGTTCTGGACGCCAATAATCTGATCGTTCATATTTACAATTTGCACCTCGACAACCTAAATATAATCTTTCAAAATATGAAAATGAAATTCATATAATTATTTACCTAATCGACATGCAGTTCGTTCAGGTAATAATTTTTTAACTGCTTGAGATATTGGTGAATAAGCACCTTGTGGTGCTGATCTTGGTGAAACAAAATCACTAAGCCAACTTTCATTCAAATGTTTAGGTTTCTTTTGAATTAATCCAGGATCAATAAATGGACGTATAACATGATTTTTATAATGATTAGTTTGTTTTTGATCATTACTATCGTAGCTATGAGAAGAAAAATCCTCTGAAGCAGCATTACTATTTAATATTATGTCAGGCTGTTGTTGTATATCATCACCGAGTGCGACTATTTCAAATCCAGCCATTAATGCTGAATTATCTTCTCTTTCTCCATTTTCTTCGTCGTTGTCATCGTCGTCATTATTTTCTGTTCTCAAATGTGATGTGGTTGTTGCCATATTTCGAAAAATTTATTCATTAAGAATATATATAAATTAAAACAAAAAACATAATTATCTACAATAAAACATTCTGATGAGTGAATAATTCACGAAATTATTTGGAAAATATGAATAAACATCCGTTTAAATGATAATTTATTTTAATTCTTTTTCGCACGTAAACTTACTTATTTTGAATAATTTTATTCAATAACACGTTTCTGCAAGAACTCAGATTTTCATCGGAGTTTATACTTCGCTAAATGCAAATGTTTATAAAAAAATAACTACCAAGTATTTTATCATAAATAAATATATTTAGTAATTTTTGACTATTACATACAAATGGAACTTTACGACTAATGTCTCTGCTATCTATACCCTAGCTACATTGTTGAGTGGTTACTACGGAACAGAAGAATGAGATGTTGTGAAAACAGAACAAAGAAATCGAAGATTCCTCACGGAACTTGAAAGCATATACCTTCTTCTATCTAGGCAGATGTTTTAAGTTGGTTAAATGAGAAGAGATACTTTGTTTTCATCTTAATAACAATTAAATACTCCTGACTTTTACTATTGGTATATAATTTATGATGTAAATCTGAAGTCGAGGTAGATGACTAGAATTATTTCAATAATATGACTATTACGTATTTATAAACTCTCTTAAAATGTACCTTGATTAGATGATTATTTCTAAAAAGCTCATTTAAATACTTTTTTTAAATATATTTTATGCTTAGTATTAAGACTATTTAAAAAAATGAACTAACCATATAACGTTGAGATATTTTTTTTACATACATAATAAGCCTTACATATATATATATATATGATGTATGAGTGACAAGGATAAATCAATATAAATTTTGATCCCTTCTAGAATATCAATATTTATATAGTTTGTACATGATAGAATTCTATCTTTTGATTATTCACATCCGATACCATAACTAATAATATTTCTATTGAAACATCCTCCTTGATTCAATCTAGCGACATTTAATTAAAGCAAAGGTTCATTTTACATTTTGATTGGTTCCTATTAAACCAAATAAATATTTGACAACAGTTGGCATCAACATCAAATTTAGATCTGCCACGACATATGTTCTCAATCAAATAATAAAATTCCACCTAATCTTCATAATAAAAATATTTATTTCCAAGTTATTTTACTCAGAGATATGCAGTTCGTATCATATTTTCTATTTTCTATTATTATTTCACTTAATTTTTCATTTGTACGATCAAAAAAAGCAGTTGATGAACAACATTGTGAAGGTAAAAACTATTAAATCTTCGATTTTATTGCATTTGTTTTTTCTAGTATGTATTAAAACTATAAGTACGTTTGCTGATACATTAAATGATGAAGATAAATCTAGCGTGGAAAAAATAGAAAACGCATTTAAAAAATATTGTAAAAAAGTTAAAGTTGATTCAAAAGAACATCGACTGGTAAATAAAAAAGAAAACTAAAACTTGTATTTTTTTATCGATTTTAAATTAATTTAGTGTTATTATACTGGAGCATTAGAAACATCAGCTACTTATGCTCTTGGTGATTTATCTAAACCACTTTCATGGGGTATACCTGTAGAAAAAATTTGTCGAGAAAGACTTTTTAAAACCAATCCACAAATATGTGATTTAAAATATGGTAAATTCTTTTAATCTTTTTATTGCTATTACAAATTTTCGGTTTTTTTGATAAATTTTAGAAAAACCAATTGATATCAATGGTGTAGATTTAAATAAACTTAAAGTAAAAGATTTGAAAAAAGTCTTAACTGACTGGGGTGAAGCTGCTGATTTCGTTGAAAAATCAGATTATATTAGACGTATTAATGAAGTTAAAGATAAATATGTCAAATCAACAACAGATACAAATAAAAAAGATTTGTGATATGAAATTTATTTTTATGTTAGGTTTAGTTTCGTTGTCCTAGGCTTATTGTTTGTTTATATGTGTATGAATGAGTATATTCGTTTTTTCTCTGTTAAAACGATCTGAACAATGTCAAATTATTATTTTTAATCATTCCTTATTTTAAATAAATATTTAATACTCATAAGACTTTTTCTATAAAATCTACTATCATATGATTTGGCAACTTCTATCAAAGACTCAATCCGTGAAGCTTGATGATTGTCAATGAATTACCTATAGATACTCTCACAGATCTATCAAGTAAACAGATATATTTCGAATTGTTTTATACTTCGCATCTATTGAAAACTCATTATTATTTTATGTAAGCAAATTACTGTTGAACTTGTTTTCAAAATCGATTAACAAAGAATATGTTGTTTTTGGTACAAAGAAATATTATTTTGACCTTAATGTTTTTTGGAGTATGTACATAATTAAAATCGAACGAGAATAAAATCAATTCATATTTCTTTTACAAGTAAATAGATTTTTTCTCATTATTTTACAAAACAAAAAAAATAACAATGAAAAATCAATTATATACATATATTTCATTATTTGTGACCCTCGTAAAATTTTATAATCAGTGTAAAAGAGTACTGAGAATTGTTTTCGAATAGCATGAAACCTTGTTTTTGATAAGCAAGAAACAAAAGAATGTGTAAAGGTATTCTTTAATTAAATTTACTTCGCAATATAAACCAATAACAAACAATGTCCACACCATCTTTGTTGACTCTTTCCTACAAATAAATTCGATTACTTATAAGCTTATTCATTTCATTTTCTTATCATCTTATACACATTCAAAGTACAATTGAATTGAACTAGTTTACACTAAATAAATTTACGATGTCGACACCATTTGCTCATACACATATTTCACATTTAACAAGAATGAAACGTAGACGATCTCAGTCTTTAACATTACCAAATGTAGATCAACAAGACACACCAGGACAAAGTACTAAACGAGTAATTAGAACTTTAAAAAAGTATTAAAAATATATTTATCTATTATATTTGAATAATTTTAGAAACATTTCTTGGCACAATTACGAAAGGAACATCGAAAACAAGAAAATAATCAAGATAGCAAAAACGAAGAGCAAACTAGTGATGATGATGATGATGATGAACATGAACCAGTAGTTACGAGAGTACCAGGAGCACATACCTCAATGTCAAAAAAGAAACAGACATCATCTTCAACGGCAATTTCAGTTTCAGTTAAACAACACATGTCATCGACATTACTCAAAGCTTTAACAGCACAGGATCAGGATGAATTTCAACCAACAGTTACACGAATATCCGGGATATCACGTACAGCATCAATGAAGAAACATACTTCATCTACAGCAACAAAAAAAGAAACAACATCAACAAAGAAAGAGACAACAACAACACACAAAACTACATATCAACATGAAAATGAAGAAAACTATGATTATAATTCAGATGTTAATCGAATATCATCAGAATCAACGAAATCATTGAAACAACAACCATCGATAACAGCTGGCAAAAATTCAATAACTAATGCACCTCAAGTATACCAAAATTCAATGGCTAATGTACCTCAAATATATCAAAATCCAATTCCAGCTTCGCCTATATCATACAAAGATATAGATTTTACTTCATCACAAACATCAGATAATCCTTATGCAACATCATCGACAAATATAATGTCAAAGTCTGATCAATTCGATCAAGAATTTCATCTTGGTGATAGCAAAGATCATGCACGAAGAAATGATACAAAAGATCATGGTACTATCAAAATAAATGGACGAGAAAAGTAAGTTAATATATATAAAATAATTCTTTCAATATTATTTTTTTTAAATAAGATATTATAACGTTTCTGGTGGAAAACAACCTACTAAATCGAGTGCAAGTTACATGACTGCTATTATTGCGATAATTGTTGGTGTGATTGCATTTGCTCTTGGCCTTACAGCATTTATACTTGTTTTAATGCTTCGATCAACTGTCTATGCTAGTTTAAGTAAATATGAAATTGTTATTTTTAGAATTTTCTTTTTATAAAATAAAAATATTTTCTATTTATTATAGCAACGAATTCAACACAAACCTCAAGTAGTGGAACTTTTCCATCTTCATGTTCATCCTATACAACTCTCAATGATCCAACTAGAGGTGTAACAGCACCAGGTTATGCACTTGGTTGTGACAATACAGCACCATTTTTAAATCGAACTGCACCTGTTTGGATAAGATTTATGGGTACGGGTGGTACTACTCTTCCTTTAACTCCACCTGGCCTGAATCTATGTGGTTCTACAGGTACTGGTTGGTACGCTGGTGCAATGCCATCATCAGGTGCAATGGTAAATGGTACTGTATGTTTTAATTGGGACACTGCTGTATGTCGATATTCTTCGTTTATTAGTGTCGTAAATTGTGGTTCATTTTATATCTATAATTTGCCTCCTGCACCAGCATGTATGATGCGTTACTGCACTATTTAACTATATTCAATATCAATAACATGTCTTGAAATGATTTTTATTTAATAAAATAATTTTTTGTGGTTTTTTAGTCGTTTTGAATTGGTTTAATAAAATCATAAGCAGTATAACAGTATATAGTACTTGTTTTTTCTAACAAGAATTAAGAAAAATAATAAAAAGTTATCGTTACTCATAAATAAAGACGCTTTGACATAAAAAAAAAAGAGAATTGTAAAAAATTAATAGTACATATGACATGTTTCGAAACAAGTGGATGAAATATAATAAACACACAGAGTACTCTACAGTGTCCTACTTGTAATAATGAATTAGCTAAGATGAATATTCTTTATTGTCTTATACTGAAATTCGTTATGGAATAATATAAGAGTTAACGTGGCAGCTGCATATATTCTTGTTAGTTTGGATTATATAATATATTTTGTACTGGATACACTAGATTTTAGAATAACAATTTGTCTAAAAATCATATTTTGTAATCGATTGCATCGCAGTGATGAATATTGTTATCCAACTTAAATATTTATAAACTACACTTTTGTTATTGTTAAGACAAACTGAAATCGATTTACTTATTAAACACATAAAAATAATCTAGAAAAATAATCGTCGTTATTCATTGTTGAGTTCTGACATTATGATAAAGATATCATAACGAAAAAGAAAAAATTAAAATAGATACAATCAGCAATCTTTCATTCTCAATGTTATATGAAAATGTTTTAATTCTATCAGCATTCGACATCTAGCATGTGATCGTCTATTGGCCCTTTACTTATCTTCTATTTATTTGAAAAAAAATTTACCTGTAAACTTATTAATATTACTATTGTCAAAATTTATTAACTTTTATATATGTCGAACTTTTATGATCAATTAAGCCCATTTTATCATGTAATCTTTGAAGATTGGAATAAATCCATTGAACGACAAGGTTCACAATTGAATAGTATTATTCAATCAAACTGGTCGCAACATCGAAAAGTCTTGGATGTATCCTGTGGAATAGGTACACAAGCTATTGGTTTATCAAAAAATGGATATCATGTTACTGCTTCTGATCTGTCAGTAAATGAAATTGAAAGAGCAAAACATGAAACTCAACAACATGGTCAAACAAATATATCATTTTCTGTTTGTGATATGAGAACAGCTTTTATACATCATGGTGGTAATTTTGATATAGTTATTTCATGTGATAATTCAATTCCTCATCTTCTTACCGATGATGATATTTTAGTTGCACTTAAACAAATGTATTCTTGTTTACGATCAGGTGGTGGATGTTTAATTACGATTCGAGATTATGATCAAGAACAACGCGGTGGAAAAAATATTGTTAAACCTTATGGTAAAGCAAAAATAGAAAATAATAAACGATATATTGCTTTACAAGTATGGGATTTTGATGAAACAGATACTCAATATTATGATTTTACTTTATATGTTATTGAAGAAGATCTTCATTCAAAAGAAACTATTACACATACAATGCGTTCACGTTATTATGCTATTAGTTCAGAAAAATTAATTAAATTAATGTATGAAGCTGGATTTGAAAATGTTACTCGATTGAATGAAGGTTTTTATCAACCAGTCTTTATCGGTACTCGACCATTTGTTTAATATTTTTATAATTCGTTGCTTAATCATAAAATATTATTTCAATTGATTAATTAAGAAAAATTTTGCTAACTCAACGAATATCTGGAATTTTTTCGTATAAAAGAAATGATTAAAAATCAGGTTAAAACACACACACAGTGGCAGATCATAATACATCTCTCGAGGTATACTCTAGTGTAGAGTAGTACAATATGTTATTGACAACAGTCACTTATCATCATTAGTTGTTGATGAGATAAATTATCTTGAAATACAAATTAACGATTGTTGACCATTGAACCTATACGAACCGTATATTATGGTAATTGTTTTCCGATTTCTGAGTTTTCAACTTGATCCGTCAGTGATAATAATTGTTCAGTAAATTAAAAAAGATAACATTCATTTATTTTAAATGGTCATACCAAAAATTGAGTCGATTGCTTATAAAGATCGAATATATTGCAACAGAGCAAATCACAATGGATGAATCAGATGATTATCTTATAAACGTCTGATTGGCAACGATTCCTAATTCTTTATAATTCATTAGTAAAAAATAAACATCATTTCATTTCTATTATTTTATTAGAAAAAATAAAGAAAAAAATTTTACAATATATTAACTGATTATTTAATTTAATTTATTGTAATGATATCGTATGTATATTGAGATGGAAATTAAATAAAAATTGATTGTATATTAAAATACATAGTCATAACCCAAATAATAAATCAACAGAAGTAAATCATTATTTGTAAAAGTGTGAATAACGGTTAAAAATCATTCGATCTTTAATTGATTTTTCTATGATAAATTTCAGTAAGAAATTACTAAAATTTGATTGAGAAAATATTTCTATTCTACTCACAACCAAGATTAACTGTTATACTTTTACAATAATGTGCCATTTTTTTCACACATTGCTGATGTTGTAAGCAATGTCAGTAGTCTTTATTTTAATTTAAAAAAATCGTGTATTCATTCGAAAGTGTCTGCCATTTGGCAGTTTTTTATTTTTACCGAATGGTCACAGTAGGTGGTCTAGTAAGTGAGAGAATCTAGAGCTCTTCTGCCTAAAGCATTCTGTTAGACAGATGAACAGAAAAGAAAAAAAAACGCTTGTAGCAATCGTTCAATTAATGCAACTTGTTCGTCGGCATTGTCATCTGAGAATCGATAGTCAGTCGGTAGCACCCTAACGAGTGCAAAATCTGCTCGACTAATTCAACGAACATGAACATCATAATATCGTTCTTTCCTTCAGAAATAAATTATTCTTCATCATTTCTTTTTCTTTCCTTCCTGCATAAAAACAAGTTTCTTTTCTTATTCTTTAACATCAACCAATAATAAAAAATTGTTTTCATACAACAATTTTTCATTGGATAAAAGAAAAAGAAAAAAAGAGGAAAAAAAAGCCTATAAACTAGAGAAAAGAAGAAATGCATTGATTCTCAAGGGCCTTGTGAGCTATGCCGTTCGTAAGTATAAGTGAGTGGGAACAACATTAGCTTAATGGAAGTAAATTTCATTCGTTAGCTCAAGCTCTTGTGAGTTCTCTTCTTCCCTAACGAAGTTGTCTCCTTCGTTTCGCATTCGAGTAGTCATTGGACGTTATAGTCTATACATCTTATCTGCCGTCGTCAATTATTTATTACTCTTCTTCTATCCTAGATAATAAGTATAAGTGTTGATTTGTCGTCTAACAAAATTAGTCACCTCAAATTAAGAGTCTTAAAAAAACATTAATTCTATGATGATTATTATATAAGAAGAAAGAAAAGAAAGAGTTTCGAGAGAGAAAGAAGCGAACAAATCATATTTCAACCACTCATTCGTTTTTCTCCTTACTAAAATAATAATCATTATCAATGAATAATAAATAATTCAATTTAGACCAACCATATATACACAAGCAAAATGTCAAGTTTAACCAATAATACTACAAATCGAATCTTATCTTCATCAAATAATACAACCTTTTCTCAATCATCATCATCACCATTTATTAACAATAATGATACTGATACATCAACATCAACACTTGGTCTAACAGCAATGGGTTTAGCTGCTGTAACAGCTAATAATACATCTATTACAGAATGTGATTCAAAACGTAATATATCATCGAAACTTGATGATCCTTATGCTAGTTTTTATGCATTAAATCGAACATTACCTCCACCACCACCACCACATCCTTCAACAGGAGCATCTCCATTTAATATTATTAATCAATCATCAAATAATAATAATTTACAATTCAATACTAATCCAACAGGTTAATTGTGAATATAATATTTTAATTCTATTTTCTTTTTTTTTCTATTATATAGGTCATTCTGATAGTGGAGCATTTAAAAAAATCAAACATGAATCACCTTTATCAAATACTCATTCATATAATCAACTTCACTCATGTAATCCTCATTATCAACAGCTATCTTCTTTATCATCAAATAATACAAATAATCTTTCACCAACACATTCATCAAATTCAAGTCAATCATCTCATCATTCATTATCAAATCCTGCAAGTCAATGTGCAACACCTGCAAGACGTCGACATCGAACAACATTTACACAAGAACAATTAGCTGAACTCGAATCAGCTTTTGGTAAAAGTCATTATCCAGATATTTATTGTCGAGAAGAATTAGCTCGTGCTACAAAATTAAATGAAGCTCGTATACAGGTTTGTGATAATCAAGACGAAGACGAAGAAAAAGAAAGAACTGGATTCCATTTTTTTTGTTGTCATATGATTGACAAGCATAAGAGGAAATGTCGGATGAAGCATCGAACATAGACAGACCGGAGCGAATGCACGAGTGAGGGCGTCTATATACATAGTCTCATAATTGAATCATGCAGGCACACTCCGTTGTCGCGTAAGAATAGATTTCTAATGAGTATGTGCAGTCGAGCGACAAGAAACTACATCAATACACGAGAGAAAAAGACAAGTCGTCGGCTTGTCGATTAGCTCGTGCATTGACAATTGAATGGTTTTAATTGAAAATAGATAAGTGGATATTTAGGATATCTTTTTCTTTCCTAAAAGGTTTGGTTTCAAAATCGAAGAGCTAAATATCGAAAACAAGAAAAACAATTACAAAAAGCTTTATCACCCGTCCTTTCACCATGTAATGCAATGATGAGAAATTTTTATCAAACATCTACTGGAAGACCTTATCAATATGGAACATCAACCAATGGAACAAATAATACAACATCAAATCAAATTCGTTATCCACCATCAGCCGTTGTCTATTCACAATTTTCGCCACTTACAGCTGCCAGTATTCGACAGGTTTGATATTATTTTATTCATAGAATAAATTTATCTATTACTTTTTCTTTTTTTTTAAAGGACAATCCATTACCTTTTCAAGATACGGACTGGTATAATAAAAGTTTATCATCATTTCGTGTCGATCATACATCAATGCTTCATTATCCAGCTTAAACAGTGTGTGTGCGTGTGTGTATCTTACCTTTTTACAGTGAAAATGTTCCTTTTTTTTTGTTTGTATGTATGTGCCATTTTGTTCTACGAATAAAATAGAATAAAGAAAGAAAGAGATAGGAAAAAATGAGAGATTCTTCTTTTTTTTTCTCACTTAGTTAATTTCATTGTTATAATAATAAGTAATTTAATATTAACTTCTACTTTAAATAATGAATGACTTTTATAAAACGAAAGCTATTTTGCAGTTGAACAATATTATCAATGGTATAAAAACAAACATATTTTTTCTACACTCTTTACATTCGTCAATATGTATAAGAGTTCAATAAGTGTAATCAAATTGTAAGACAGTAGAAAAATCTAATTTTGATCCACTTTATTCTTTGAAAGAAGAACGCACAAGTCAAAATCTAATCTAACACTTTTACTGATATTCAAGCACATTTTGATTCATAATCTAGTAAGATCAATAACTTTGAAGAATTTCTACCAATATATCAGTTTTTTTTCTTAATTTTTAAATATTCTTTTTTTTTGAATATATAATGTTCTTTCGTCTCTTTTCCGACGGAATTACAATCGATAGTTGATTGTCTTCCTTTTTTCTTCTTCTTTGTATCTATGTTGAAACATGTAGGATCAAAATGATGGATGAAACATCTCGCCGATTGGTTGTTGATCATCTTGTTGAACGGAGCACATCTTCTATACAACCATTCATCTTTTTTTCTTCGCTTTTTTTTCTTCTTCTCTTCTTGTCATTTCTCGTTTCCGTATGCGACTTTATTTTTCTTTCTAATCATTCAACGACAACTACTTGAGTTGTTCGATCAATACGAAAAAAAAGAAGAAGAAGAAGAAGATCTTATTAAAAGATTAAGCAAGTACAATATAAAAACCAAAAGAATGTTTGAGAATAGCAATTGTACTATCACATCATGTAAGAATAAAAATTTTCAATATGAAAAAAATATTTTTTTATTTTTTTTATTCAAGTAAATACAGGTGCATTTAAACGTACCAAACAGAATGATAATACAACAATAAATCATTCATTTATATCACCGTTACCAGAACCACAACAGCAACAACAACAACGTAATCATTCATCAGCCCGTCGTCGGCATCGAACAACATTTACCCAAGAACAACTTAATGAACTTGAAATATCATTTGCTAAAGGTCATTATCCTGATATATATTTACGTGAAGAATTAGCACGAACAACAAAATTGAATGAAGCACGTATACAGGTAACTGATTTTAAGATTTTTTTTTTATAAATCTATGGTTTATTCCTATCCCTTGAGAAAAAGACAGAAAATTTTTATACAAAGAGATTCAATTTTAAGCGATTTTCCACTTGAAACACATGCCGTCTGTTATGGTAACACGGTTCATTTGATGGTACAATTTTTTTCAGATTGATTATAGCTTGTTTCACACATCGGATACATTCTTTCACTTTTCTTCTTCTTCTTTCTTTCTGAGATCAAGACGTGTCATTTTGAACAACTGTTCAAAAATCGACAAATAAAACTTGGACATATGGACTTTTTCTTTTCAATGGTGTCATTACTTTTTTCTTGTAATCTAACCTTCCTCCACATATCAGATTGAATTATATGTATGCTTCAATGATTATTGATGATGAAGATGAAAAAAAATATATCTTAGGTATGGTTTCAAAATCGACGTGCAAAAGCTCGTAAACAATCACATAATTCTTCATCATCGGGCAGTACATCAACATCATCATTATCATCTGTTCGTTTATCATCAAAAACATTTTCAACAAATCCAACATCATCATCATCATTTCATCAAATGTTTAATGGACGTGCAAATGCATCAACATCATCTCCAACAAGTATTATGATGACAACAGATCCGACAATGTTTTATCCATCATTTCCACCATCATCATGTGATTTTAATGTTCGTTCAACTATTGTAAGTTATTCAATAGAGAGATAAAATAAAACTATTTTTAACTTTTTTATTCAAGGAAAATTCAATGCCATTTCATTCTCCATATCAACAACAACATCAAAATACTGAAGATGAATATACAAGAAATATGCGTATGCAAAATTTAATTAATCATCATCCTAATCTATATCATCATGGTTAAAAAACTAAAAATCGAAATAAACAGAAAGAAAAAAAGAATTGCATCACAGGTGATAGACATTTATTTGATCTTACTCTGTGTGTATGTGTGTCTGTATGTTTTGTTTACTTTACTTCATTTCATATTATATGACAAATAATTATTCATATGAATTTTACTTTACAAATCTAAAAACAATTATTTTATTTATATGATTCTCATGTCTTTTTATATCAAAAACAAGAAGAAGAATTTATGACTCGAATTTAAGCTTTTTCTATAAATGTAAAAGGCTAATAAATGTAACACAAAAAAAAACTTTTTATACATATATATATATCAAAGGATCATAAGAACTAGAAAATATATGATAACAAAGATATGTGTAGATGATTTAATTTATGATTAGTTTTGCATAAAGCCAAATTTACATATTCGAAATCATTTTAGAATTTATTTGATGATAATAAATTAAGCAAATATAATACCCACTTCATTTTTCATTTATTCCTCTTTTACTATTTAGACATCATATGTCATTTGGATGTCATATGATCGTTTATATCAAGAAAACGAGTTAAATCTTTTCATTAATTGTAATTGAAATTTAGTAATGTTATAATTCGATCCGAAAACCATGTTTGATTATGGCTTCAGAGATTTACATCAAGTGAATAATGTTTAAACTATAATATATATTTTATGGAATTCTTTACTTTGATTAAAAAAAAATAGTTTGCTAGATTATATAAACTGGCTTATGAAAAAAGTAGACAAATCTTATAGTTAAAAGAAGAAAACAAATGAACTAAGAAAGATAAAAAAATAAACGAGCATAGGTTTAGTAATAGAAGCTTTTGAAGGACGTGGAAAAGATACTTTAATTTCAGCTAAACCCATGGTTACATCACATCCTTGGTACCAAACTAAAAATGTATCTTCAGCCGTTTTTTTCCAGCCTTCAACAAAAATAACCAATGGTACAAGACCTCGTTCAGCCCAAACTCCCGATGTATTATCACATCTTTCCCAATCTAATTCAGGTGTATATATCGGTTGTTCACTTCTTGCTAAAACCTCTGTTGGATCATTACCATTTAATATTGCCCAACCTAAATTATATTGAAGTTCCCAGCCAGGTTTTGGAGTTGGAATAGTTGTTTTTCGTGCTGAATTATAAAGAAATAAATAATTATTATCACTTAATTTTAATGGTTCAGGACCAGCTTCAACAAGTTCAGAATCAAAATGATCTGATCGTGTACGTAAAAGAAAATCATTTGTTAAACTATATTGATGAAGATCATTTGTTCGGGCTATAGCAATATTTGAATCATTGAAAAATAAATAACGATGAGTATCATTATGAATTAATAAACTTCCACTTTTACACCAAAATACTTCAGGAAATAAAGGACCATGTAGTTTCCAATTTTGTTTAGTTAAACAATCGTTTTCACAAGTAGCCAACGCTAATTGAGCACGCCAACGATCACCCTCCACTTTGCTTACAGCTGTATAATATCTTAATATTATTTAAAGGATTTTAAATATCATTTTTATTTGAATGAAAAAAAAACTTTTTACTTACAAATAATAAACTCCATTATGGAGAACTACACGTGGATCTTCAGCTCCTAGAGCTTGATAATCTTGATCAATATCAATAATAATATCTTCATGTCTTACATGTGAATATTTCAGATGATTAGCATCAATACTTCGACTAACTGCTATTTTACTTGGTCCAACATTATAAATCGAACTATTGTCAAGTAAATCTTGAACACGTACTAAAAGTGTCACTGCATTTGAATCATCCTTCATTGGCATAAAAGCACTATTATAATTATATAAGAAATCAGAATTCTTATCCCATGATGAAATAATTGGTAGATCTGATCGACGTGTCATTTTAATCTCTGGTGGAATATAGCAGAAACAGTATGAACTCCATAATACTACAAGTAACAAAATAATATGTGTTCTCGAAGCAGCCATCAGGACGTTTGTACTCAAGAAGTGAAATATTCAGGTGAATATTTTATATGATAGCATTTTGAAGGACAAGATATTATGCAAATAAATGTTACTGAAAAGATAAGCCTTTCTTATTATCACCATTCTTTTAAATCAAGTGTCAATAAAAGGTACATGGTGATATTTTTTCAAGAGGATCCTTTAATCCAATATATATATTTATATCTTCACTTTCTTTATTTTTAACGTTATTTGTAACAATAAAACAATAGATCAAGATAAAAATACTAACAAAAAAAAAAGTCAACAAATAAATAATCAATAATAACAATTAAAACAAAAAGAAATATGAATATTCATTTCTTTTTGTTTTGTTAATATATATTAAAATAGGAATGTATTCGTTTTAATTTATCCATGTGTAGCTGCTTCACGTTCTAATGCAACTTTAAATTCTTCATAACTAATAAAACCATCACGATCAAGATCTTCTTCTTTAAGTATATCATCAATAAGATTCGTAAGTTCTTCATCACCGATACGTTCATTTTTTGTATTATTATGATGTCCATCTACAGTAGCATTCTGAAGGTTTTCTTCTTCATGCTCATGATCAAAGGAAGCTATAACTTCTAAACCGTCTAAACGATTGTCATTATTTATATCATGTAATTTAAAATAATAAAAATTTTGTTCTTCTTGTGACATTTGTTCTACTGGTTTATTTATTTGACCTTGAAGATCGTGTTTCATATGACTAAAAAAAATTAAAATAGAATTTTATGATTTAATAATTAATAAAAAAGACAAATTATTCTACTTTATATCATGTACATGATCTTCCATTTTTCGGGAAATATGTGGTTGTTCACCAGTAGAAGGTTGACTATTAGGAGCATGTTGACCATGACCATATATTTGATAAATAGAAAGAAGTAAAAAAAGAAGATGAATATACATTTTGTAGATAAAGAGTTTATTCAAAAACTGTGACGAATGATTTTCCTATTATTTATATGCATTGTAGAAACAGAATTAAATTATATCGTGAAGATTAATCTTTCTAATGTTTTTCTAGAATTATAATCACTTCATACTTGATGAATTTTATTTCTGTTAGAAATGTAAGAAAATATGTCACTTTTATTAATCTTTTAAGTATCAATGAGACTTATAAACTCAACTTTTTTAAAATTTGATAGATTCCGAATAACTCATGAATGCAGAGTGATAATGAAGTGTGGCTTTCACTACGGCATAGAAGAGACTTTGATGCATATATTTATGTAAGATTAAAAACCATACTGGAGTTACTCCCGTCCGTACACCGCTGAGGAAGTGGCTGAAATATCTCTCATCATTTCCGTAGGAGGGTACGGCTAAAAGTTACAAATGACTTGAAATATTTTTTTAAAGTGTCGATAATATCCAATACTCATACGAAATATCGAGTTTCAAAGAGATTTCGTTCATAGATTGAATCATGGGCCCCCATAGGGTTAAATCTGCCAATTAATTTCACGATGCAAAATTTAAATTAACGCTAAACAAACTGATTTGAAGGTCTATGGTACAAGACAATAATAAAACTGATAATATTTTTCTTTTATAAGCAATATTAATAAATAAGTGTATGTAAACCATTGCAAATACAAATAAATTGATTCTAAAGATAGTTTTGATACATATATAATTTTAGAATAGTTTTATTTGTATAAAAAATATATATGTGTATAGTATAGTTAACTTTTCTTTGGTGTGTTTTCCTCGATTTTTAAAATGAATCATCTTGTTTT